TTATCGCACGAGCACGCGATCGTGATTTTACGCGGAACGGAGAGATCGCGATCCTCGCGAAAAATCGCGCGACACACGCCGCAGGCTGATAATGCGCGCAGATATAAGAGCGCAGAAACACAAAGGGCCCCCTTCGAGGTGCATTAAACGCCCACGCGCAATCACATGCGTGTGTATCTACTCTGTAAATGTCTCCATTGTAAATGGATTCTGTCTTGCGCGCGAATTACCGTAACTCATCGCCGCGGCGAACGTGTCAGAGGCCGGATTGAGCCACGCATTAAATCAGTTGTCGCTGCAGCGACGATTAATTTAAATTAACGTGCATAGACGTGCATACGCGCGCGTGCGCGCGTGGAAATCGTGTGCTCGAATTTAGGACGCGATCGCCCTCGTCCTGCTAAGGACTGAGAGGTGCCTTGCGAAAATTACATCATGTAAAAATCGTCGTGGGCGCAAGGGTTGCGTAGGTCAGTGCAATGCGAGCCGCGCGGCGCGAAACTCGATATTGTATTCTGTATAAAGGCCCGATACCTGACATTTGCTTTAATCGGCATCACATCGGACGCGCAATCCCCGCGGAGGTTTCACCGATATATACATTTTTTTTTTATCGTTGCACAACCGTCGATTTTTCTTTTTCAGTTCACTGCGAACCATAATACGGTGTCGTTCTGCAAAACGGAGATTTAACTTTATGAATTTTACGTTTATATATTCTGCAAATTAAATAGCGGAATTTAAAACTTGAAAATTAAATTCTGATCCGGGAGGAAGTTTAATTTAAAGTCGATTTAAAGTACTCTCCTTTTTGTCGTCATTGGGATTATAGTGCATATTGCATTAAATTATTTATCGCGCGTCAAAGTGCAAATGATAAATACTGTAATAACTTAACGATCATTGCGAGCGCGCGTTATCGCCGATGGTCGCGGAGCGGAAAATCAGCGGTCGCTATTGATAACGGAACGATAGCGAGAGAGAAAGAGAGAGAGAGAAAGCGACCGCTCTACTCTTTCTCTGCAGATTAAATTCCTCGATCGATCGCCGAGCGTAAAATGAAAGGATCTATAGGGGAGTAAAGGTAGAGAGAGAGAGAGAGAGAGAGAGAGAGAGAGAGAGAGAGAGAGAAAGAGCAAGAGGCGAAGATTCTCTACGTCCCTCATAACGTTCCAAGTTTGTACGGACCAATAACCTTCCAGAACGCTATTAAATCGTATGATAAACCCCGCACATCGCCGGAGCTTACGCGGCCGGGATATAAAACGGCGGGGAAAAGGTCGGGCGCCGGTGCACAATAAGTAAGCCCCTCGCGCGCGCCAGTGAATTTTTGCTGACGCGAGACGATGCGACGCGACGCGACGCCACGCCGCCGCGCGTCCATGATGCAGCTGTTACCGATGGACCGATGTGCAACACTGCACCGACACGCTCTTCTTTTTAAAGTGACATGACATGAAGCCCCGGACACCCGAACCACCTTCGTGCCCCTTATAACTGTTGAGAATAATCCGTGTCGATATCTAGCAACTTTCCCCAACCGTTAGAAAACCAATTTCTCGTTTTCTCTCCTGTAACCCCTTTAATCAGCGTGCGCGCGCGCGGAGAATCCTGTTAATTAAAATTTATATTAATATACAATTCCTCTCACCGTTCCAATTTCTCGCAAGTCTTTCTTTTCGCGCGCGCGTCACGTTTTAATTTCGGATAAATAATGTATTCCACCGGGTTTTTTTTTTTTTTTTACATAAAAGAGAAATCTGCAACGTGCACGCGAACGCGGTCGATTTCGCCGGCGTAGCCTTTAAACCCCCCCGCGTCTTAAATCCCGATACACACAGTGTATAACGTCGATATCGTCGCGTGCATCGCTCTCGCGAAAAACCATTAATCATCCCGATACCGTTTAGTCATGGCGTTTCCTCGAGGATCAACCGCGAGATCCGTGACCGATCGCCGCGACTAAAGCCGCGATCCGGCGATTCCGTACCGCTTCTCGTCTGTGCCCGCTGTATTGTAACTCGCGACGAGTTATAGGACGTCTCACCTACGCCGCCGTGCGAGTCCCATGCACGCCGCCGCGCCGAGTCGGGGCCGCCCAGACGAGACTGGAAGGATTCGCGTAGGCGAGTCGCGGCACGCGGGTGCTGCAGCTGCATCGACTGGTCAATGCATCCGCAGCGGCGGGTGATTAATCACCTTGCTCCGGTTTCGACGAGATGCACTTCCTTCCCCCCCTGTGGTGGTAGTCCACATCGCGCGCGCGGGGCGCCGTTATAAGAGGGAGCGAGGAAAAAAAAAGAAAAGAGGAGGGAAAGAAACCGCGATCTCCTCTCCCCTTCCCCCCGGCCGTAGCGCCGCGACGGCGGCGGCACAACCAGTCCACGATTTTTCAGTCTCGTCGCGGAATCGGCGACGAGAGGCTCTTCCGTGCCACGCGACCAGATCTCTCTTCTCTCCGCGGGGATTCCCTTCGTTCCTCCGGCTCGTCTCTACCGCGGTCCAGCCGCGGATCGCGCGATCGGCCGACGTAAAAACGCGATCCCCGTCGCGCCGCGTGGAATCATCTCGTCCTCCGCTTCTCCCTCGACGAGGCGGACAGGCGCGCGGCGGATTATGCAAAGCCGTCTTGCACGTCGATGCTCGCCGTCGGTGTTCGCTCCGCGAAATGCACTCACGCGTTCACCTCCATCCATTATCGGCCGGATCAAGTATCCTCCTCCTCTCCGGGCGCTCTGCGGAACCGAGAGTCGCGAGTTGTTAGCCTCGCGAGGTCGAGATCACGCCCGTATATTTCGCCCGCGTAACGATTGTGTACCCGCGTATAATCGCTAGAGCCATCCGCGTGCAGCGACGCGAGTGCACTCGCGACGGTCGTTCGCGCGTGACGCACCGCGTTTTTCCCGATTCCGCGCGAAAAAGTTTTCCACAGCGCCAGAGGTAAAATACCATTGGAAATCTCGCACAAATATTTAAGAGAAAAATTTCTTATTTATCAATATTAGTATACGTAAGTGGAGAGAACATTTATTAATTTTAGAATTTACGGAGGATACACGAGAGAGAGACTCTACTCGAGGATCCAACTTTTGAAAGCCGGATGTATATATAGGTGGATGAATTTAAATCCCGTCTTTAAAGAGGCTCGCCTCGGTAAAAGGGAATTTTTCTCTCCGAGAGAGGCACACCGCGCTCTCTCGACGAGATATGTCATCGTATTAGCCCCCAAACACAGACGCACGTCGATCGTATTGGCAGTCCTTACCCGTAATTATGTATCTCGAAATCCGTATCTTAATATACATCAAGGTTATTAAAAAATAACGCGGCGAATGCGACGAAGGTAACGTTTTCACATATCTTTCGCCTGTATCTTTAACTTTGTTAATTAAAGTGTTTTTACCGCCGACTGGAGAGGATTCGTTCGATAACTCTTCACTCTCCGTAGCTTTTACGATGCTTCTTATTTCTCGATCGTTTCCCGTTTTTACGAGAGGAAGGGAGCACAGAATTCGATCGTTAAGCGTTCGCCTAATGGTTAATCAATCAGCTGTGTGCCGGCCATTTAATCGCGATTTCCCCCCTTCCGCTCCCCGACTCGAAATTTCGCGTGCAATTGATTTCGCAATTTCATTTACTTCTCGCGTTTTCCCCGGGGAATGTAAATGCTCCATTAATCGCGCGAGTCGCGCGATTCGAGAGATTCCCTCGAAGCGCTAATTGCCGCGCCGACGAGAGGTAGTCCCGACGTTTCTTCGAGAGATTGCCGTTCCGTGACATCCCTCTTTAATCGGACGCGAGTAAGATTCTTTCTGATCGTCGCGCTATCGAGCGACGAACCGAATCTAGTCAAATCGAGTCGCGGATCGGGACGGCGAGGTGCAACGCGCGTCACATTAACATTTTGGCAATTATCATGCGTGCGACGACGATCGATCGTGTGACACTGCCGCTTCCGGAGACGTTTGATTTGCTTCTCTCCCGATTCGTCGCGCGAGCATCCGTGAACTATCTGCATAATTTCGCGGGGACTCTGCAGCGAGTGCAAGTGACGTCGGGGCATCAAGAGGAACGGGATAATCTCGAGGGCACTTTGAAGCAAAAAATTCATCCGGCGAGGTTGAAAGGGGCACGATCGATTTTTTTATCGATCGTGGCCTTAAATTGATTGGTGTGGATTACACGATCTCAACGTCGATCGAGGCGATTTCGCGCGTCGATTTTAAGATGTTATACCGCAGCATCCGTGCGAAGATGCCCGCGCGTTTCCTCGTTATTTTCTTAATTACCGTACACACATACACACACGCACGCACACGCACACACACATACATACACACCTCTCCCGTCGTTGTTCAACGCGCGGGTATGTGTGTGCGGTGTGTATCACCACGTCGCCACACTCGCGTCGCAATCGGCACTCGCAGTCGCGAGAGAGCGCGAAAAGAAGATCCCCCGCGCGCGAGCCGCAGCGAGAGAGAGAGAAAGAGCGACTTTAACCCTCTCTCGTAGCGCGACGCGAGTAGGAAGCCGAAGGTAGAGGAAGTGAAGGAGGCGGCGGTGGAAAAGGTGGCGGAGAACGAGGGTTGCGACGGAAGCGCGACCCGGAGTCCACCCTCTCGCGCTTCCTCGACCTGCTGCTGGCGTGCCACCCGGCCACCGCGACGACCGGGACGTACATACCCGGCGATGAATCGCGGCCAACTGAGAGAGGGAGAGAAACGCAGCCCCCTAGATACTACCCCGTCGGGTTGGCTGTGGCATCGCGCACGAAAACCCCCTGCGCACAACCCCCTCCCCCCTGCCCCCACAGACCCCCGGCGACCACCCCGCCGCGCACGGATCCGCATGTTTTGTACGCGCGGGGGGGTAAGTAGGGGACGTAAAGGGAGGTAAGGGGAAGAGGGGGTTTGAAGAGGAGAAACCCGGAGAGACGCGATGTGGACAGAGAGAGAGAGAGAGAGAGAGAGAGAGGGGTTGGGGATTGCCTCAGGGTTACAATGACCGCGAGTGGAGTTACTGGGTTAGGTCTGGGTTGGTTCAGATGGATCGGGGATCCTTACAATGTACGGAAAAGGGGTAGGTCGAGGCGTCCCTCCCCCCCCATGATTGGGGAAGGATCGAAAGTGGGTGGCATTTGTCGGCTTGTCCGGAAAGTTCCAGCATATATTTCTCAATCGACGTAATGCGCCGCTTTTTAAGCGGCCGCTATTTGTTCGTTTCGCACGCGACGTTTTCGATCTCCCCCCCCCCTCTCTCTCTCTCTCTCTCGGAGGACGATGTTTCTGAAATCGGATAAGTTAGGTAAAACGTATCACACGTGCTGGAATAAAAACTCGATACATTGAAAGTTTCCAATATACCGAGAATAAAATTTTCGAATGAGAAAATACCCGTAGTATTTACTTTCTTCGGCAAAGAGTAAACGACAAAAGCCGCCCTTTATTGCCTTCAGATGGGACCACCTTTCTTTTTCATTTGCGGCTGCATTTAGATCCACTACGTTCGCAGATTGATTGCGATTGTAAATACGATTAGAATCGGAATGAATTATACGCGTCTGTTGCGGTCTGTTGCACGATGCCACACTCACCCCCGGAGGGAGAAAATAAAGAAAGAGCCGGGGCCTGGAGAATCGGAGGGTGCAGAGATTTAACGTATCGCGACCAGCTTGTGTACAGCGGCCTTAATCCGGATCGATCCCGAGGAGATTATGAACGGGCCGGAGTGTCGCCTCGGCGCGGCGATGGGAGACGGAGAGTCCGGGACCGGTATAAATAGTCGCTAATTAATTCGCGCGGCGGAGGTATAACGAGATACGTATCGATGCGACACTTTGCATTTTCGCTGCAACGGACGTTTCTCCGGGGGAATGTAAGCGGGCGACGCGACGTGGAAGGACGCCGCGCGCGGTATGATTTTATCCTTGAATTACCGTCGTAAAACGAGCGCACGAGGACGGCCGCGATAGTATCGTAAACGTAACAGCTTCATAGGCTGATCCTAATTAATGTCGCGATAAAATACGCGGAGGGGGGAGGGAGAGGGAGAAGGATCGCGCGGACACACCCAGTGAAAAGCCCTTTCTCGGACAGGACGAGCTGAATGGAGGATAAATTGCTCGACAATAAAGTCTCGTGGCCTCCTCCCCGGGGCCCCCCGCGCGCCGCGGGGCTCCACGTTTTGGAATTGGGGTGGCTATACCGGTGGATCGGAATACCCCGGGGGTCCGAAGTACAATGGCGCCTCGTGATGCTCCAAGTTGTTTACGTCACACAAACTACGGGAGGGAGGGGTGAGGGCTGGAATCGAAAAAGGGTGGACTACGCTCCGCGACTCTTCCTTTCTTTGTCTCTCTCTCTCTCTCTCTCCTTCTCTCTTTTTCTCTCTTTCTTTTTATCTTTTTTTTTTCTTTATCGATCCGGCCCAACCGCGTCACGACCGAAATTCTCCTTACTGAAAGAATCCCCGGCGCGGCCGCGAGGCTAATCGAGAATCTCGTCCTCGCGCCTGCCTCGCTCGACAGACCCGCTCGAACGTTCGAGCGTCAATTTGTCCCGATATCGCGGCAAACCGCTTCGAAGTGCACGCGTCATTGCGCCTCGTCTCTGCAGCGAGCGTGCGAGAGCAAGCGAGAGAGAAAGGGGGAAAGGGAATTACACTCTCACACGTATAGGTAACAACTGTCACGCTTCGATTCGAGCGCTTTCGATTCGGACGTATCGGGCACGTGCGATTCGAGTAGAAATTGATTCGCAGATGTTCGATATCTTGATCTCGATATACATCCCGACAAAGATAGATCTTTGATTATCGGCTGATCGGGTTTCACCTTGGTATCTATTAATAATGTCGCGTGCAAGACACGCAGACGCGTCGGGATCCGCGATCGTCTCCGGCGGCGTCGAACGCGATTTCTCCCCGCGTTTTCCGTCCGTTGCGTGGCACACACAAGGTGACGGCTTTATGAACTTTCGCTGGGTGGCGGATCGCTCGTCGCGCACAGACCGCTGGGTAGCAGCTGAAACCTTTAATAAAGCGATCGCGAATCTCCCCTCCTCCCCCCGAGCGACGGCGGCAGAACGTCGAGAGAAGAGGGCAGAAAACGATTCCCCTCACCCTCGATTCGTCCTCATCGCCCATTTTCCGTAATACCGCATCAAGTCATCCCGTCAATTTGAACGCTTTTTCAAATATCGACCGACCATCAGTCGCTCTGTAAACTTAAACGTATTATAATCGAACGTGATGGAAACACCTGTTGTGAAATGCCGTTCGCGATAAACGACAAATATTTTTACGTCGCGTTAATTAACGTATTTACTACGCACAAATTTATTTATCACGTTCTCCCTCCGGCGCAGATAAAATAGGAAAAGAAAAACTTGCCGGCAAAGGAGTCGCAAATCTCTGACAATTTCTGTACATCAGAGAGGGGAAAGTCATTAAAAAGATAAATTATGTGTCTTATCCAGTTGATTCTTTAAATTTCTCTTAAAGAATACGCATAAATACTCTACTGAGCAAATTCAACTGATAATTAACATTTGCTTATATAAGGTAAAAAAAATTCCGACTTCGCGATTCGCGTGTGCCGGAAGAATAATTCGTTCTATCGCCGACTGACGCACTTTGAAATATTCCCGGATGCACGAACCGGATGCTGAATAATTGCGAAATTCATCTCCTCTTCTAGCCGCAAATTCTCCGCGCTCTTGTTTTAATTATAAGGCTCCCTCGGAGGCATTGTACAGCGTACAATCCGTCCGACGTATATTTTGCGACGCGTCCGAAATTACGTTTGATTTATCGCGCGAATAATGCGGCGCTTTATATAGTAATGCTTCATCAATAACATCTCTCTCTCTCTTTCTCTCTCCCCTCCCTTCGCGCCCCGCGAGCGGAGCGAAGATGCGGCAATTCCGGCGAGGCGCTCGTCGCAGCTTGAAAATTGGATCAGCGACTCGGGCGGCCGCCGAGCGGCAAAGCAGGTGCAACTTGCAGCATCAAGCGACTCAATGAGAGTAATTAATTGCCGTGGACACGCGTCGCGACGATGGGAGGGAGATGAGAAAAGCCGAAACGTGATCTGACGCGAATCTGACGCGAGTTTCTTAAAAATTATGTTTATGAGCCAGCGACATTTTATCGCTCATTTATATGGTAATTATTTTCCGGCGTCTCAATAATCATATTTAATTAAGTACATAAACATTTTCGTATTCTTATTTGTCTCACGATTCTTCTTTCTTTTATATTTTTCTTTTTTTCTATTTTCCTTACTGAATTGCATTGGTTGCATATTGTGACGTAAGTTTAGATTTTATAATTTTTGTAATTTTGCTCTGTGCGCTTAAGAGGATCCTATCCTGGAGCGCGAAATAAATGGCGATATCTATCTATCTATCTCGTCAAAGAAACATCGATCACATCGATGTAAGCGAAAGAAAATGATACGATAATTAGTTGGCTGAATCTGTACGATTAACATATCTGTCTTGTATTACCAATGATCCATCTAACATTTTTACACCTCTGTTTGCGCGAATGTACTTTTTATCGCTTGGATGTACTTTTATTGCGTATCAAGTGTATACATATAATTTATGATGTTTGCCGGCATGTTAACGTAAATGAAACTCGGCTGGGTTGCGCGACGCGAAAATTTCGTCAGCGTTAAATTCTCGCCCGTCGGGCATCGGAACGAATTAGCGAAATACTGCAGCATGCATTTCGACGGCCGACTGATCACTGCTATATATAGCTATAATCGGATAACAAAGGAATTACCTGCTCTCGGTATCGCTGCCTGATAATTGACACGCGTCGCATTACCGTCGAAATCAAAGTAATGCGTTTGACGATATGATGCTTGATCGCATTATGCGCGATACGTATATTTTCGTATTATGCATGCGCGTATACGCAGCGACGGGTGATCTGGAATTTTAGCGATAATTTTTAATCGAGTCGCTCGCGCATGGAGTTAAAAACACGCGACGGGCAGAAGAGATATATATTAGTTTGCAGTTTGACGCACGAACACAAGATATATGTCGAAATCAGTTTCGATCGCCAGCTTCCCCGGCCGACACGTTTCGGTGGCCGAACGATGTTCTCGGTCTCAGAATGTCGTGGCGCCATTACCATTTATCACTTCCAATTATGTAATATATTTTCGCAACTGTGCGAGCTACTCGTGTTAAAATTCCATCCAAGTAAAGCCTGTCTGAAATTAACCGACGGTCTTGCCGTCTTCTCTTTCCTCTTTCCCCCCCGATGCTCAATTCGTCGGAAGCCCATTATTCTCAGCCGTTAATCATTCAAGAACTATAGGCGCCGTTATCGTAGGGAGCGAGGAGGGGGTGGAGAGGGGGATGGGGAGGAAGAATGATCTGACTTAGGAATCTCTAAGTAGAAAAGAAATTTCTGGTCCGTTTTTCTTACTCTCCCCCTTCTTTTGCAAACGCATGGACGGATGACGAGATCTGCGTTTGCGGCTCCTGCGGTGCGTCCGCGTAACGGCGCCGCATAACGTGCGATGCAGACGATGCGGTATGCGGCATGCGGCACGTCACAGTACCGTACGATCGTTGGTGCAAATTGCAGCGAGGGGGGTAGAAGGAGGAAGATCCGATGACGGAGCGAGAGAGAGAGAGAGAGAGAGACGGAGAGAGCAATCCGGTCGTTCGTTAATCTGCGGCCGTTCGAGCGCGAACGAGATATATACGTCCGCCGTTTTGCAGAAGCCGCGCGTTAAAGCGTCGGAACGCGCGCGTAAAGCAGCTTAGAGTGCGCCGCGAGTTACGGCACGAATTTTCGTCCGCGCCGGCCGAATTATTTGCGTTACACGGACGCGGATGTAATGCCAGTTGGAAATGGTATTCGACCGGTGTATATAATATATATATATATATATATATATACAATCTCGGTTCCGCGAGTTTCCGGCAACAATTTTGCAAAACGTCAGAAATGTTAACTAGCAGCGCTTTTGTCATTTGGTATAGAATTACAATTATTTCCGTTTATTTGATACGCTTCCGAGATACCTCTATTTCCGAGAATGATTTTATAATGACTTCGGATTTTGGCGTTACAGATACGCGGAAATGATTTCGGTGCAGCCAATGGAAGGGGCGCGGGGGAGACGGCGGGGGAAGGGAGGTGGGGTGGCGTTAGATCGAGTGTTATACCGCAGCGATAAATACATTGGCCGGCAACCCGAAATTAGAGCGCATAAAACTGTCCGCGATCGTTCGCCACGCGGGATGAAAAATCGTGTCATTCGGACGTGCCGGGGCGCTAAAAGGGCGCGTTATAATTTAACAGATAAATTATTCATACGTTAGGGCCTAACACCCGTGCCCTGCCATTACGTGGACGAGGCACCGTATATACATAAGCCGAGCGGGGCGGTGGTGGACGAATTATGAATATTCAGAAGAGTTTCACACGTCGTAAATTTAAACTCGTCGCGTGTTTCTGCTTTGCTCGAATGAACAATGGACGTGTAATGGACGTAACCATTCCGCGGTGACATATCCTTTTTTTTCTTAATTTCGTAAGCAACGAGCTTACCCCTCTTCCCCCTCCCTTTCCCCCTCGTGGGTTGCTGTAATTTATCCCGCAATCCGCGACGAGTCGCGAAATTGAGCGCCGGCGCAATTATCAAGCAGGATTATTATATTACTCGCGTAATATCGAGATTCCCGGCGAAGCCCCGCCGATCTCGCACCGACAATCTCGACAGACAGTTTCGGGAAATATAGGGTACACTCTCGTGCGCGGATTCGCGATGCAGGCAAGCCGATGTAACTTCAACGACGAGGGTTGGAGTTTAAGTTATATACGTCCGACTTCATCGCGCGATCGCAATATAGGTATAACGTGCATATGGGCTTCCGTCGTTGAAGAGGTAATGCACGCACCGCCCAAGGCCTTTCGTGCTGCGATCCTCTTGCTCGTCGCTGCATATAGAAGCCCTAGAATTAGACGAGACGCTAATTGCCGTTCGCACCTATATAAATGCAGGATCAACCGCTGTCTAGTATAGTCGCGTAAAATGGAAGCGGAGCCTGATGCACTTCCTCTGTAATAGTTAGCAGTCCTGCCATCGTGTCTTGGTTACGACAAAGGCAGATTTTAAATAATGAATAAATTATAAATATAGAGATTTTATTTTATACATTAGATTAGAGATTTTATTAAATCAAATAAACTTACTCTCTAAAAGTGAATTTAGTGAAATCATCACTGATTTTAAGTATATATCATTTTCCAGTGATATACTTAGAACTGTGATAAGCGAACAATTTCAACGTTGTTTCAGTATACTGATTCAAACAGTGAATATTATTGAAACATAGTGAATTTTAGTTGTCAAAACTTTTTGATAGTGAAACTCACTAATATAATAATAATTATTAATAAATCATAAATTGGATGATTTTTAAGTAAAGATAAATCCTAAACGGCACGATAATAATAATTAAAGCTTACTTGTTTCTTATTCGAGCAATCCAATTCTAATCTATTATTTCTTGCTACTGCTTGATACATTGATACACGTACGTCGTCGAACACGTAACCAAATTTGTACTTAAACACGACGCTCGTGTGATTTTGCAGGCGTTCAAAGGACCGTGCATGTGCTGCACAATTCGGAGCAGCCGGCCTCGGTGTTCGCCCTCCTCGAGTCGGGCAGCAAAGTGGTGCCGTTGATAGCGGACGGCCTGTTCGACCTGCTGATGTTAAAAATGACGAGCATCTACACGAGTAAGAAGCAAACGAAGATCGAGTCCAAGGGGCCGCGATTCGAGATCGGCGACTTCTGCGTCAAACTGGGCAGCGTGACGATGAGCCAGAATTTCAAAGGCGTCCTGGTAGAAGTGAGTGACACTCCTGCACATTTCTCACGAAGAGAGAAAGAACTTCTCGAAAGTGACGTCGAAAAATCGTCGGTCCTCTCCGACGAACTTTTTTGATGCACGTGGGGGATTTCTCGCTCTTTAAAGTGATATTCTTCATTTCGACCTCCGGCTGACGGAACGGTCGTTTCCGGTATTTTTAATTCGACCTCGATTCCCTCGTAAAAATTCCCTCGCGCTTATATAAAATCTGTTTTTTTATCTCCAGCGTAGGAAGCTCATACGGGATATCGCTTTTTGCTCTCGACCGTCATTTCGCTTCCGCCCTTTGATCGTCACGAAAACGAGGGTCATCCCAACCCCTTTGCGTCATTCAAATCCAGAACGCGAGCGGAACGAGCGCGAGTCGACTTTCTGAATCCCGCGACCCCGTAGCAAATTCTTCGGGGGAGATACGTCTCGGGATGAGCTCCCTGCTGCTTCCAGTTCCCTACCCCCCCTCCCCTCTCTACCAATCACGCGACGAGCGTGCATTATCGATTGATAACTCGGTCACGAGAGCGCGAGGTCCCGCGCGCAAATCGCGTGTATACGTGCATACGTACGCCGGTTGTAGATAGCGCTTTAGGGACGGAACGTGGGCGCCACGTATCCCCTCGGCGTCCTCGTCGCGCCGCACGGCGAATACGTGTCTCGCGTGTCAAACTCGGCACGCCCGAGATATTTCATGCCGCCGATGTACCGCCGCGGCTGATCAGGAGTACACGGGAATAATCGCGTAATTAAGTCCGGATGCCAACGATAAATCGTCCTATCGACGCGGTATCACTTCCACTCGATTTTACGCGTATTCTCTCGTTAATTTGGATGAGTACGGAAAGCATAACGAAAAACTATTTGTCTTTAAAAAGTTTGAAGAATAAAAAAAAAGCTTTTTAGAGAGAATTAAAAAGTGAATATTTTGATCATTTTTAAATGAACCTTCCTTATTCCGATCATAACGAAAAAAACTATTCGTCTTTAAAAAGTTCAAAGAATAAAAAAAAAGCTTTTTAGAAAGAATTAAAAAGTGGATTATTTTGATCATTTTTTAAATGAACCTTCCTTATTCCGATAAAAATAATTTATTTTCTTTCGTGATCGAGACAAATCGATGTAAAAACTTGCAGTTCTAGAAAGTTAATTGAAAAAGATTTTTTTTGTTGTTTTTATATAATTAATATGCCAACGCGATGAAGCGACGATGCTTGATAATTAATGAGTAAATCACGTCGAAGATCGTTTTAATGCAAATCGAAGCGAGATTGCGAATGCGCACAAAGATTTCGGCACGCATCGGGCGTGTTGCAACGTGTGTCTCATCGCACACACGAGCGCGCGCTATCGGACGCCGCTCTCGGATGCACCGTCGCGTATCTGTAAACATACAAGATACACACGCGCGTATCGATACGGAGCGTCATTGCGAATTGTGTTCGCCGATGTCCCTCCCCGGGGCTGCTTATTGTCGTGCGCCCACGTAGCGTTTTGACACGGGAATCAGCGATCTCGCTTATAACAGCGCGTGTTCTAAAATTATCGCTTTTTCGTCCATCAACATCGCCTATTTTAGCTATATAGTAACTTAATCGGCTTGGGAAATTATTAATCCGCGCCGCGAGTTCGAACGAGTTCTCTCTACCCGCCTAGTAAACGGCTTACAAACGCTCCAAACTCCATCGGGCGAATCGCATAGGTCGAATAGTTGAACAAATATTCCTCCGCGAGTCGAGTAGTTGAATAAATATTTCTCCGGTTCGGAGAAATGCTTCTACATCCCGAGAGAAGCAACCCGAGCGCGACGTAAACAATGTACGGCGAACGTATCACTTTCACCCACCCGGCTCTTTCCGGAGGAATCGCGAAAGACAGCTCCCTCCGCGAGCTGCTTCCTTCCCCTTTTTTTTTTTCGCGTCGACGATCCTCGCCCCAGACTTCGCGGCGTTTCCTCAACGATCCGGCTTCCGGTATATCTTCCGCAGCCGCCCTGCGCCCACCCATTCGACAGATTCATCCGGTCGTGCAGCGGCACGTACACGCTCGCGTGTATACACTGTGTGTGCGCGCACACACACACACACATCCGACGAGACACCGGCTTTAAATGCTCCAGCAGCAGCCATTCGTATCGGTAACTGCGCCGTTTGTACAGCGACCGCGACGTCGAATACGTCACGATAACCCCCGATTCCCCCTCCCCCCTCCTCCCATTAATTTCAATGGGAAACCTCCCCGCGCGCGCGCAAGGCTCGCGCGTTAAATCTTCGCTCTCTCTTTCTCTCGTCTCCCTGCCTCCCTCGTGCGACCCTCCAACACTTTTCTCCCCGGCTTCCTGCCCCGGCAACGGCGAACGCTTCCTTCCTTCCGCCCTCTTATTCGCCGCCGCGACTCCCGCACTTGACTGCAATCACTTATCAGCGCGTTGAACACACACATCGCCTAGGCACCGCGATGACCCAGAAAAAACTTTTCATTGTCATTTTTCAGCACGCGGAGCGAACTGGAACTGCGTAACGCGCGTGACAAACGCACTCCTCCTCCCCCCCGCCCCGCCCCGTTTTGGTTTCGCGCTTTCTCGAAATTCGCAAACGCGATTTTTCGGGTTTGAATCGGGATTCAATCTGAAAAGCGTATCGCCGTTGAATGTGGCACAGCGGTGCGATTCGGAATAATGCCATCTCGTCCGTGATTTCGAATTGCTATGTGGCCATGCACGGTCGAATTGTCGGGCGAATTCCCCAGATTTTCGTTTAATTGGCGTCGCTGGGTCTAGCGAATAATCTCGGGAATTCGAAGTTCCACCTGAGAAACTTGGCCGCGTAAATGAGTCCGTTGTGACGTAACTATATATATAAGGTAGAAAAAATTTTACACCCTTACCATTATATACCTTTTTCGATTTATTTCAAGTCTTGCGCGGCCAGTCGTGTAAATACACCTGATGCGTTTTACTGCCTCGTGCGTTACGAATAAATAATACTTTTCTCCTGCAAAATGTTTCGTGAAGAACAACGGCGCGAAAAGTTTATCGGCCATGGACAAATTCGGCGAAATTGGATTTTAGATTTAAAATTATCGAGCAAATTTTTATAAGCCGAAGAATAAACCAGCTGCCGCCTCCCCCTTTCTCCGCTCTTTCGGCGAATCTTCCCGCTTCCATTCTTCCCCCGGCTTCGCTCCACGCTTATCGAATTGCTCGGCCGAAGTACCAATTTCGCAGCGAGGGCGATATTAACTTTTAGCCGAGCTTCCTTAATATAACTATAAGGCTGCGGCGTGGAAGAAGAAAATGGAAAAGAGACAGAATTGAAACCGGAGATAAATTGAAAACAGAACGAGGGAGAGAGAGAGAGAGAGATCTACACTCCGACATCGATATCACCCGTCCGATCCTGACATATCCAGACACACGATTTCTCGTTCGAGTTTTCCGAATGGCTGATAGTAGTATCCAACGACGTGCGAAACCGAATTTTTGACATTTTTACGGATTGACGTTTCCATCCGAAGAGGAGAACTCCTCCGTCGCGAATCATTTATACGGAGACGACGGAGGGAGGCGGAGGGAGGGTAGGTGGACCGAGTCCGTCGTCGTCTCTGCTTACTTATGGATATTCGTACGGTGGTTTCAAGCGGATTATCATAAGCGCCCGTCATTTTCCATCGCTGCCCCGTTCGAAGTTTGTCGCGCGAGTACCTGATTATACATCCGTTCCGTTTCCTCCCACGATCCTTCTCGCGACATACACACACACACACATACCACACATACATCGTAAGCCGGATTACGCGAGAGACGTACGAGGTCCGTGTCGCGGATGTTCCATCTTCGGGGTCGTAAAATCCCGCCGCGCGGCCGCCCGCGACCGAGAGTCGCGCGAGCACTGTCGTCGTCGCCTGATAAGCATTAGCGATATCGCGCGTCGATATTCGACGTACGTCACTGATCTGATGGTACTTGGCGAGGTATAATCCTTATACGAGATATAATTTTTCTTTTTTCTTCATTTGCGGATTTCCTGCAGGTCGAGTATAGACCGTGCGTCGTGCCGGCGAGCGCGTGGGAACTCATACGCGAATTTCTGCAGGGATTCCTAGGCTCGACCGTGTCCAATCAGGCGCCTCAGTATCTACAGGTGAATACTCGCTAGTAGAAAAATATATAAAATTTATATTTTATTCCCGTACTATACGTACGGGAACTATATGTATAAAAATTTCGAGTAATTTTTCTTGAAAGACAGAAAAAGATAAGCATTTATTCCGACGCAACAGAATTAATTTTTTTTTTTTTTAAATAAATGTTGCAGAACCGAATGAATGAAATTTATCAGCCGATGGACACGATACAGCAGTATCTAGAACATTTCGGTCAATACAGGAAAGCCACGGGAGTAATTTAAGGGGAATCATCGTGGCGGCATTATTTATTTCACTACGTGACATTAACGGTGAAATCGATCGATTCCACCGATCTCGCTAATATTTATTATGTTACGGTCTGCGCGTATCTATAACGATATCAGTATTCCCCGCGTATTATTTGCGCATGTTAATTTTATTGCCAGAGATTTGTATTGTGTTTTAATTTAAATAGTTTTTTTTAAATTAGCATTATTTAAATAGTTAATAAATTTTTTTCAGAATAGCAATTTGCATGTAATGATAGCTGAATGTTCTCAAAATAATCGCGAGATTTTCGTCAGAAATTCGATCTTTTTTTTTTATCTTCACACCTATTTCAATCTTTTGCGTACCGAATTAGTTTTTGTACTTGAGCAAAGATTAAATTCTTAATTTAACTTTTAAAATACAATTTATTTATATTACTTCGAGATTCGTAGAGATTCCAAAGATACAGCTCGCAAAATCGGTGCGTGTGCACAATGTGACATGACATGCCATCTACAAGAGAATGCGAGAAAACGCGAGTTGAACAACCGCGCGATCGATAAGATTATTATGAATAATAAATCAATATGCATAATATATAATCTAATGAATATTACAATCTAATATTGTCGGTAAAGTTGACTTTTATATTTTATCAACTGAAACTTACAGAAATAATCAATTTTTATGGCTACCAGAACGCGTTTTGATCAACAATTGTTAAATGCAGTATTCCTGCTCATCGCGCAAAGCAGGAACAATTAATTGCTTTCCAACGCACGACGTCAAACGTCAGTTCGCACTTTTAGTTATTATTAGAAGTTATCTTTTAATTGCTAAGCATACTAAGAAAGACATTGCGTGCTCAATAATTTTCAACAGCAGGCCACTGTTTATTTTAAATAAAATTACCGTAATTTTAATTACGATTTATAGTAAAGTACAATATTTATTAAGAATACGTAGTTATAAATGTATATAATTTGTCTCTTTTAAAACAAAGATTTTATGTACATATAATTAGTTTCTTTTACATTATCGAATTCTAATGTTAGAATTGAGTGGCGAAATTGAATTGCTCGGATGAGTACCCATTTGTGCATGATGACCGCACAATATAATGCTTGCAATCAATTTAGAACCTTCCAGTAAGGTAGTTCAAAGGTCTACATACCTCGGTCAGTGTCATGAATTAATCAAATCAATTAGATGACTTTGAATTTTTCGCTGTGTGCCACGACTATGTCCATAGAGATCAAACAATTTTCAAAGTTCAAATAAGAACAATGTTCCAAGAATAGAAATTTAAAAAAAGTCTCATTTTCAACTTTCGCTTGCAAAATCTATATTAAATGTCTTTTTTTTTTTTAGTAAAAAAATATTTATTATAGATACCTATATATTGTTTTCCAAATTCTTATTATGTTACATTGTGTACCAAGAAGGTCTGAATGAAATTCGCAAAATTCGCAGGCCGAAAATTAATTATCATTGTTAAATCATCACTATCGTCAGCGACCGCGTATACGCTGTTTATTTTTTCAGACAGTATGACGCAAGCCGATAAAAAATTTTGCCATCACGTATCGATGTATATTAATGACACGCTGTTTATAAATAGGTACATATTATTATTATATACGGTTATCATAAATATCGCGCGTCGCGCGAAAAATATCACGTACGTGATTATTATATAAGGATCACGCCATGCGTGCGGCGCGAAACGGCGGAAGGGAGACGAAATGATGTTTGAACGGGAGAAAAAATATTTGCTCGCGCTCTTTTTTTTTTACGCGCTTTTTATTTACGTGCCTACGTGGAACGCGTTACGTCATTCCGCCACGAAATTATGCATACGCTATGCAAATTCTGTGTGTATCTACGTACATACAATCGACGAGCCGATTCGTTTTTGCATGCGCGGCCCGGATTATTGCCGTCGGTGACAATCGCGTTTGTACAAAAACCGGCGATATATAATTCGCCCGATCGCACCAAATTTGTTCATTTTATTTCTTTTACCTTCTTTTTTCTTTCCCCACGACAACAACGCGGCTATCGACGCATTTCGCTTATCGATTTTTCGGGAACGAACGGGACGGGCGGAATGTCGATGGTCATCGAAAAAAATACCGCGGGACGGGGGGAAGAGGGGTCACGTGATCGCGAGCGTGACGCCGCGCGACGCCGACCGTGCGAAGTTGCTCCGGACGAGAGACGAACCGGGAGCGACGGAGCGGCAACGAGGGATATCGGCGGTGCGGAAGTACAGTGTTCTCTACACGCGTGAGAGTTGTCCGTATCGACTACGAGAATGGAGGTGAGGATCATCCGCGAAGAACCTATGAGTTCGACGACCCGCGTGCTTATCTTGTTTTCTACTTTCAGATCGAGATCCTGTCGGCGAAATCCTCGAAGCGGATAGCCAACGTGAATGTGAGTGAAGTACGACGAGCGTTGACATAATTATTAAAAGTCCGGGATATTCGTTCGAAACACGATAATGCGAAATTCGATTGAAATTCGATCTTTGGAAGTGATCGAAGGATCCGCGACTGAATTTTTGTCCATAGATATTTATCTACGTTTTTTATCATATCACATGATTTTCATCACGACGCGTACTCTTATTGCAGGTAAATCCGAGCACTACGATAGCCGAAGTGAAACAGCAGTTGTATGAATTAAAGAAGGCACCGTACGTCCAGAGGCAGAGCCTGAGAGTGAACGCCAAGGGAAAAGCGTTGTCCGACTCGGAGACAATTAAATCCCTGTCGCTGAAGGCGGGTGGAAAGTTATATTACAAGGATCTCGGCCCTCAGATCGGTTGGAGGACCGTCTTCCTGCTGGAGTATGCGGGACCTCTGGTGGTGTATCTCTGGCTGTATCAGCGTCCCTGGCTGTTTTATGGAAACGTGAACACCGATAATATTCACTATGTAACCAAGTAAGTCGCTGTCTAATTAATATTAATATTATTCCAGAATTAATATTATTAATGTATTCTTTAAGCATTATTAAAATTATGATTTACGCATGAGCATTTCTTCTGCTGTACGTAAACAATTTTTTTTTCCAGGTGCGCGGCAGGCGCCTGGACGTTGCATTACGCGAAGCGTCTCTTGGAGACCGTGTTTGTCCACCGTTTCAGCCACGCGACGATGCCGTTGCGTAACCTGTTCAAAAATTGCTCCTATTACTGGCTCTTCGCTCTGTACGTGGCGTATCACACGAACCATCCATTGTACACGCCTCCCTCCAGGATCTCGTTCCTCATTGGATCGGCGATATTCATGCTGTGCGAGCTGGGTAATCTCAGTATTCACATAGCTCTGAAGAACTTGCGACCACCGGGCACCACGGTCAGGAAAGTCCCGATGCCGACCAGCAATCCCTTCACCGCGCTCTTCAACCTCGTCTCCTGTCCCAATTACACGTACGAAATTGGCAGTTGGATCGGTTTCAGCATAATGACGGAGTGCGCTCCGGGTACGTCTATGCGGCGCGACTATTTGACCTTTAGCTCGAATGCAAACGAGGCGGCTGTATGATGAATATATTTTAATTTTCAGCTATGCTGTTCACGCTCGCCGGCGCATATCAAATGACCATATGGGCAATCGGCAAGCACCGCGCGTACCAGACGGAGTTCTCGCACTATCCGAAAGACCGCAAAATCATCTGTCCATTCGTTTTCTAAATCAAGACATTCATTTGCGGAATAGTATCGGTGATTCTCCCGATACTATGTTGATTTTTTTTGTTGCTGTTTTTATTTTTGCGAGAGTAAGTAATTAAGATTAATTAATGGAGATGTTTAGCAGTTACGGCAAGCATGTGATGAAGGATAGTATCAATTTCTAGTTAAAAAACAAAATGAAATCCGTGAGAGAGCAAAAGAGATATATACGCATTTCAATTCCATTTTTTATTTTTATATAAATCTTGGGTGGGGTTTGTCTTTTGTCTATAATGAAATAATGTATATCTTACGAATACAGCGTTATAATATATATAAAACGCTCTTACTTCTCTTTGAAGGTAAATATGCTTACATGTTTAATTACAGTATATAGAAAGAACGTATATATTTATATATATACAAAATTATTTTTACTATATGTAAAAAAATATGAAACATTGATTTGTCATTAAAACTATGCAATACTTTAAGTATTGTAAAGTTGAAAACAATTAAATGTCACAAACTTACTCAAGACGACGTCTTTTCTCCTTCCGTCTCCTCACAAGGAACTTTGCTCAACAGCCGCTTGATATCTTCCTTCAACGCTAGAATAACTTGCTGCTGTTCGTGTATTCGTTTCGTGTATCTCTCCTGCAGCTCCTCATACCCGCGATACGTTTGCTCCAACATTTTTCTCGCCTCCGCGGGTCGCACGTCTTTTCGCATTAGCCCGAGCAGACTCTCCATATGCACAATGTGTCCCCGCGCCTCCTTCAGTTCTTCCCTCAGCGCGTTCAATTCCACGATAAGCATGCTGTTCTCCTCCGTCAGCTTCAACCCTTTGTCACCGGTAGTCGTGTCCCTGGACAGCTGCTTGCTCAGCGACGCGACAGTCCTCTCCAGATGATCCCTCTGCCTGATGAATTCGCACTGCGCGTCCACGTCCGCTTTGCGGCTACGCAGGAACTCGTCGTCCCCGCTGTACTTGTGATACAAATTGGTCACCGCCGTTTTCAGCGCGTTCGGCTCCTGCACGAGCCCGGAAGCGTCGAGGATGTCGACGCGAATTTTTCGCAACAGCTGCTGACACCGCTTGCTCCTGTGCGCCTCGCAGTCGATCTCCTGGCGCGCGGACCGCAATTTCTCCCGCACCTCGTGCAGCTGCAGCTCCAAGCCCTCGTTGGTCTTGTGAAGACTCACGAGCTCCTTCTCCATGCTCCGTATGATGTCCTTGAGCTCCAGTATCTCCTGATCCCTCGGCTCTATCTGACTCTTCAGCTCGTCGATCTTGTAATTCAGCACGAACTTGAACTTCTCCAGTTCCTGATTCGTCCGCTTCATGTCGTATATCTGTTGCTCCTTGCTCAGAATTGTGGCGTCCCTCTCGGCGATCTCCTTCTTCAGATCCGCTATCTGCTTCTCGAGATCCTGTATGTTTTTGTGGAACTGCGCGAATTCACTTTGCACCCGATGCACCTGCCGCTTCAGATCGTCCACGTCCCTCTGGCTGGCCATGAATTTGTTCCGCATCACCCCGGCCTCGCCCTTCAGCTTTAAATTGATCTGCCTCTCCTCGTACAAGTGGTTCTCGTACCTCGTGCGTATCTCGAGAATCTCACGATCCGCGTCGTCCTCTAACTGCGCCATCAGACGCTCGTGAACGCGCTCCTTGTGCGCCATCTCGTCGAACGTTTCCTCCAACTGCACCTTCTTCTCGTGTACCAGAGCCTCGTATTTCGTCACGGTCCTCTGCAGCTCGTCCGCGTCGCGTTTCGCGAGATTTCTCAACTGCAGCTCGTAGCTCTCCCGCATGGCGTTAGTACGCTCCTCGAACGCCTGATACTTGTCGTACTCCATAATCAGCTTGGCCTCGTAATTATTTTCCATTTGTAGCATCGCCTCCTCGTGAGCCTGCTTCATCTTCACGATGCTCACGTTCATGTTGTTGATCTCGTTTATGTGATCCTCCTGAAGCCTCTCAATCTTTTCACGAAGTTCTTTGATGGCCTCGCAGTAGCCCTGGTGCACGTCGCGTAGCTTATCGTTGTGCTGAACGTCGATCTGCCGCAATTTATACGCGTGCTCGGTCTCCATTTCCCTCAGCCTCACCGTCAGATGCCTGATGCTGTGTATCTTTTCCTCCAAGTCACCTTTGCCGATTAACACTTCGTTCGTGTACGGCAGATCTCTGCTCATCTTCATGACTTTCCCCTCGGGAGAGAACAGCTTCCAAATGCACAAACTGCCGTCCTTCGCAACCGAGATTAGACAATTTTCGTTGTAGGAGAGTGCGATCTAAGAAAGAAGGAAACACAGAACGATTAGAAAAAATTTATATATCTTAATTCAATTTCTGTCTTAATTTATTTTCTCAATGTATTGAGAAAATAAATTAAGATAGAAGGGATGTATACCTGTGTGATATCGACGCAGTGTAGAGAGAAGTCCGTTGAGTCTATTGGGCTTTGAAGCGGACTCTTCAACGAGATGATCACACCACCGGGAGAAGTCACGAACAACGTCATGTCATCTTTCCCCATGATCATCTGTTGCATTTCTCTGCCGGGCAATCGAAACTCCCGTGACACCTAATGAGAAACAAATAAAAGACTTAATTTCAGAAACGATCGCCATCATTTTTAAAGTAATAAAAATAAGAAATCAAGATGTGTACCGCATTCTCCTTGATTTCGCGTATATAGTCGTCCTGCGCGATGCAGTAAATGAACGACGTGTCCGCGGAAAGTGCAATGTCGCGCAGGGCGATGCCCTTCCAAATGAACTCGCCGGTTCGCGTCCCGGTGGTCATGTCCCATTCGTATATGGCACCTTCCGCGCCCATGCTCAGCATTTTCAGATCCGTCTGCGACCAGAGAAGAGCCTTCACCTTGCCGGTGTGCCCCTTGAGGATGAACGGATTGTAGAAGCCGATGGTGGTGTACACCTGCACGATGTTGCCGTTGACCGCGGCGAACATGTGGCCGTTGTAACTGAAGCGAACCGTCGGGCAGTTCCTGATGGCGATCTCGTGCATCGGCAGCAGATCGTCGATCAGGATGCTCATGAAGCGCAGCTTGTCGGTGAAGCCGATCAGGCAGAACAGCCCCATCGGATGCAGCGCGACGCTGGACATATCCTCGTCGTACTGTTTCAGCATGATGAGGCTCTCGGTCTCGAAGTCCCACAGTCGGACGCTACGATCGTGCTCGCCGCACGTCATGAAGACCGGCTTCCACGCGCACATGGAGAGGCCGCCGATGGGGCCGTGGTGCAACGGCTCGCCCAGGATCTTCAGTTTCTGCGGCTCCGGGTCCATCTGCAGATCCGGGCCCCACAGCGTCGCGTAGTACAGCTGGGACCAGCCGGCGGTGACGATCAACCGGTCGGAGCTCGGATTCACATTGATCGTGCTGATCCTGTAGAGATCCGGGTCCTCGTCCCTTATCACACGCTCCGGCATCACGTAGATGTTCCTCTTGACGTACTTGTGCTTCCCCTCTTTCTCGTACAGCACCACGGTTCCCGGGCCTTGCGCGTACGCGAATCCACGTGGAAACGCGACCAAGCAGGCCACATTCTGCTGCCAGATAACGTCGGCGGCTTCCAGCACTACCTGCGAGCTGACGGCGGCGGGCATAACGTACTCCTCGCGAATCTTGAGATTCATCGACACCGTGTCGGCCATCCTGTATACGTTCTTAAGATCGCCGTTTTCCAGATAGAGCATGCGGCCGTCCTCGGTGCCGACCATCAGTCGGTCGCCGTCCAGCCAGGCCATCGAGCAGACGAGGAGGTTCTCCGCCTTGGCGAAACCGTACGGACGCCACACCGTCTCGGAAACGATGAGGAATTTGAACGTGTAAGGACCGCCGACCGCCACCACCGTCGCGTCCGTCGGATTGCAGTTCAGCATCTCGGCGATCGCCAGCGGGTTCTGCGGATTGGCCAGCTTGAACGTCGACTCGACCTTACCCTTCTCCCAGTTGTAGAAGAGCATCGTTTGATCAGGCTCGCCGGTGATCGCCACTAGATTCTTACTGTCGAAAGTGAAATCTAGACTCGTGAATCTGGTCACTCCCGGAGCGTCGAAGGGTATTCCGAGCAGCTTCCTGCGCTTCAGAGAGTTGAGATCGTAAATGGATATAGTAGGCTTATCCCCTACTTCGGATAAAGCAACATATTTCCTGAAATTACAGATCATTTAATTAGAATTAATTAATGTGCAAGAAAGATTAAACAGAAAGATTAAAATGTATTTATAAGCGTCTGCCTTGCAAAGCTATATCTTTCTATTTTTACATTTCCGCAAATTGTAACAATTGTTATGTTTCTTTTTATCTGAATCGAAAATATGAAAGTTTGCTTAAATTAACGTTCAGTTTCGTGTCGGAACGAGGTTCCTTATTCTACTTAATCTTTTGCGTGCTTTCAATGTAACGTCATCAAATTCACTCACTTGTTAGGCGAGATACAAATGACGTTTGCGTGATACTTGTCCGGTAATCGAATCAACTTCTGCTGATGCTGAAGAATGTTGTGAATCGCCAGTGCATTGCCAACCGGATATAAAACCTCCGCGTCCGTGACATAATGCGCGTTATCGGCGATGTCTGTTTTCAGGCCGTAGAAAACGCGAGTTTGCAGGGACACGGCCATCTCTCGCACGAGAGCCTCTTACGAAGAGTCAACTATAATATTTTTTCTGTTTCTAAAAGAATCCTCTTTTAACTGCATCCTCCACGATTTTCCTATTATTTTTTTCTTGTCTATTATTCGAGCATAAACATGCTCCATTTCAAGCGCGATTAGGTAGAGTGGCTGAAAAGACAAATGGATTTATAAAGATTGTTTACATCTCCCTGGTAACGCACCTTGAACTCGCTATATATTAGATTTAATTGAATAATTTTATTACGAAACAACGTGTCGAAGGATTTTAATTAGGAGATCTATAAAATATTATAAAGTCCGATTTATATAAATTCTTATAGATGATCTATCATTTAATTCTGTTAAAATTCGAGATAAAATTCTATTATTAGGCTGAATACACGCACGTATAAAATGCAGTCTAATTTATTTATATCTTAGACTTAATTAATAATTTATTTTTCCAAAATACGTTTCCAAGAATAAATCAATTTTTGTGCAACGCAGTTTTCAAAGAAAAATGATGCGATCTTGATTTGCTTATGGAGTGTAAAAATTAAAATCGATTTTGCTTGTTTAAATATATAAAAGCCAATTTTTATTCTATAAGATATCAATTAAATCAATTTCAATTATTATCCGAGAAATTCAGAAACAAACTTTTTAATTGATTTACAGATGGGTTGCGCGCGATTGTATTACGGTTTTCTTTTTTTTTTTTATTATGGCCGAGAGTAAACCATATGGTTTACTCATATGAGTGAACTCCTTAGGTTCGCGATAATCAAAGATCAAATATATACATATGATCGGGGATAATTAAAGAGTAGTGACATTATCGATTGTCGACGTAAAAATTTGAAAAAAAAAATTTACAATTATAAAATATGTATCAAATTCATGATTGATTATTATATTCAATTCTTTACAAATAAGCTGCGTATTTACGATGTAATAATATTACATCGCTACGAAATTGCATTTTCTCCACACTTATCATGCATGGGCAATCCGACACGGATGATAACGGCGGAAGTGAAGTATTTTTAAATAAAAACCGGATATCGTTAAATTACATAATAAACATATACGTTTATGAAATATCGTTAATAAAAAATCATAAAACTAATATTACGAGGGCAGTCGTCGAAATTTTTAGCAGACCCGCTAACATTCACTAGACTGGCAAGTCTTCGATAGTACCTCGTCGATGATCGTGGAAGCAACAGGAAGCGACCGCGAACGGTCCCATTCAGTGATCACTTTGCTCGAAACACCGCCGTGCGTTTTGGCGCCAAATCATTTGTGCGGCCGGGATTGATGTGAAAGGCCTCGAACGGCTGATCCGATCGTGCACATCGACGTCAGGTAGTTGTTCCTCTAAATGCCGACGACTCGACGTTGCCTCCTGCGGCGTTCTAACCTACGTTCATCCCTATTTCCAAGGTCAGGTCCTTGCGCCGACTGCTCCGAGCCGAGGGAAACGGAGGAGTCTCAACGGTCCGCATATCCGTTCCCCCGTTGATTTCTCACAGGGAAATGGAGGACTCGACGACGGCACGTCTGAAGAAGCTGGTGGCGGACAGTAATGAGGCTCTGGAGCTCAGATTAATCCGCAACCTCGACGACCTGCGCTCGGAGGAGGCCGTCTTCAAACCGGAGATGACTTATCAGGTGTTCGGAGATAGGTTTGTTACCGTATAATTTATGCGTTAATACTATTATGTGAAACTCATACTGCATTGATTGCTGTATAAAAAGTGTTTTCGTGCGCCGTACGGATCGTCATTCTTATTCTGTTTATTCTCTACAGGGAAATAATATTTGGTTATCTGGATCTGAAAATACAGCTGTTCTACGCGGCGGGCTGCTTGGAAACGTATCTGGGAATGACATACACCGAGAAAATAAACGCCAAGCTCGAGGGAGTCGAAGCCGACGAGGTATTAACGAAGATCGTCCCAAAGCTCGCCCCCGACGTTCACTGTAACCTATCCACTTTCACCAAGGCGCTCGCCAAGGACGATACGTTCATACCGTACGGCGAATTGATACAAAAATTCTCAATAGACGGTACCTATTATTCTCCAGTTTTCTGTTTCTGCACACGCATTAGCTCGAAAGCTACAACTATTGCTTCTTTTTTGTTGTGTGTGTGTGTGACACGTAGACGAAGGCACCACGAGGCAATTTGTGGTCTACAAGGCAGATATGGGCTACAAAGGATTCAGGGAGTACCACCAAAGGATTCAGACATTCCTTCTTTGGTACATAGACGCGGCGCTCTTCATTGATATTGACGACGAGCAATGGCAGTATTTTAATTTGTAAGTATATGACTCTCTCGACATCAAGCTCACCTAAACTAATAAATAGAGACAGCTGTGTACAACACGCATTAATCTTCTCATTAAATAATTACAATAAATAGAGACAGCTGCGTACAATACACATTGATCTTCTCATTAAATAATTACATTAAATAGAGACAGCTGCGTGCAATACGCATTGATCTTTGCATAAAATAATTACAATAAATAGAGATAGCTGCGTACAACACGCATTGATCTTCTCATTAAATAATTACAATAAATAGAGACAGCTGCGTACAATACGCATTGATCTTCGCATTAAATAATTACAATAAATAGAGACAGCTGCGTACAACACGCATGATCTTCTCATTAAATAATTACAATAAATAGAGATAGCTGTGTACAACACGCATTGATCTTCTCATTAAATAATTACAATAAATAGAGATAGCTGTGTACAATACGCATGATCTTCTCATTAAATAATTACAATAAATAGAGATAGCTGCGTACAACACGCATTGATCTTCTCGTTAAATAATTACAATAAATAGAGATAGCTGCGTACAACACGCATGATCTTCTCTCATTAAATAATTACGCTTTCCACAGATTCGAAAAATATACCACGCCCACGGGTGCCACTCGATACGCGACGATTGGTTTCGCCACCGTGTATCGGTACTACGCTTATCCGCAGCACATTCGGCCGCGCATCGCTCAGTTCTTAATCTTACCGCCATTTCGAAGGATAGGTCTTGGCAAACATTTCCTGCAAGTGATTTATCGCGAGTACATTGGAAGGAACGAAGTTAAGGATATAACAGGTAACGGAAGGATACTCGACGATAACATTGCCCAATAATTTGCGACTGGTTCTTTTTTTTTAATAAATCCACGTTTGCAGTGGAAAGTCCGTCCGAGGTGTTCCAACGACTGCGAAACTACGTGGACGCCTTGAATTGCAGCGCATTGCCCAGTTTCGCGCCTGAGCGTTTAAAGCAGGGTTTCGACAATGAGATGATCGCCGACGCTAGGGATACGTTAAAGATAAACAAGGTATCTATATATATACATATATATATTAACATGCGATTTACTTTGTACTATTATCGCTTTTGTCTTTCTCTCTACTCACAATAAATATTTCGTCCACAGAAACAGGCCCGCGTAGTGTATGAAATTCTACGATTGCAGGCGACGAATGTCGCGAACCCGGAGGAATATCGGGCATACAGAATAGACGTGAAGAAAAGACTGAACATACCGTTTAAGAGGAAGCAGAATGAGGAGCTGAAAATTGAGCGCGCGCTAAAGAATTCCGCGGACAAGAGCACGTATACGAATTGCAACGGTCTACCATCCGACGAGCAGCGCAAAGAGATACTGGAGAAGGAATACCGGCTCCTGGAGGAGGAATACAAGATGGTGATCAAGCGGCTGGAGTACGCTTCCGAGCTGTGAAATGGAAGTTTTACGAAATTGAATACGGCATTGATTAATTGAGAAATTTTTAAGCTGTGAAAACAAAACAAAAATATATATCAATAATTTCCAACGTTTTATATCTGTGTACAGACATCTTTTTTTTTTCATTAAATTTATCTTGCTTTTCTATCTCTCATGATGTTTGATTGTTTTCGATTGTTACTTCGATAGACGCAGACACGGCCGTGCGCGGCTCGCGCTTTCATTGGCACCCTTCAGTGCCGTCATTATACGTTTCGTCAAAATGGTTAAGTAATCGCCGGTGCGGCGAATTCTTTCAAAATTTCTAGCGTAAGATTTCGTCATCACACGTCAATAGAGAAAACGGGACAATGCAGTGAACCTCTTTTACAATTTGCTTCGCACGAATGGAGATCCCGCAACGTCGTCGACTTTACCCGCATTGACAATGCGATCCGTGTCTAAAAGCATCGAACAAAGTGAGAATTATGGCTGATTACGAATTATGGTAACGCAGTGGGTAGAATGTCGTCTGTCGTCCTACGAATCTCATGTCACGAATGAACCAGACATCGTCCGAGGAGGCCACACTGCTAGCCCGGGGCTACAAGCTGCTGAAAAAGCTCGGCGAAGGTTTTTACGCAAAAGTCTGTGTGCCCCGATTAAAAAAATCTTTCTGTTCACTCTTTTCAGACACTTTAAAATAACGTTAATTGTTTCTCTCACTTATTACAGGTGTATTTAGCCGAGTATAGGCCGGAACATGAGCCGGAGAAGAACAGCACTCTGGCCTGCAAGATAATCGACACCGCGAGCGCGCCGAAGGACTTCGTCCGGAAGTTCCTGCCGCGCGAGCTGGACATCCTCGTGAAGCTGAATCATCCGCACGTCGTGCACGTTCACAGCATCTTCCAGAGGCGCACCAAGTACTTCATATTCATGCGCTTCGCCGAGAACGGCGATCTTTTTGATTACATACTGAAGAACGGCGCGGTGGCGGAGAATCAAGCTCGCGTGTGGTTCAGGCAGCTCGCTTTAGGTATCGATGGATACTCTTTGTCTCGAAGAGACAGCGTTAGTTCATTAAACAGATCAATCGCGAATGCGTAAAAGTAGCTGTTATCAAAAGTACCGATTATAAAAACGACGAGCTAGATGCTGCGCGAGCACAACATACGCACGCGTTTGTTCGTCACCGCGGACGTCTCTCGCTAACTAACGCGCGTTCACTTCCCCAGGTCTTCAGTATCTACACGAGATGGAAATAGCGCATCGCGACATCAAGTGCGAGAACGTTCTCGTCACATCGAACTACAACGTCAAGCTGACGGACTTCGGTTTCGCTCGTTACGTGATCGACGCACGTGGCAAACGCGTGCTGAGCGACACGTATTGCGGCTCGCTGTCGTACGCGGCGCCGGAGGTCCTCCGCGGTTACCCGTACAATCCGAAGATATCCGACGTATGGTCGCTGGGCGTGATCCTGTACATACTGCTGAACAAGGCCATGCCGTTCGACGAGGACAACCTGAAGCGCCTGTACGAGCTGCAGATAGCGCGCAAGTGGAAATTCCGCAGCAAAGTGGCGGGCAGTCTGACCGATCGCGTGAAGAAGCTCATGGGCAATCTGCTCGAGCCGAACGTGTCTAAGCGCTGGCGTCTGGACCAGATCGTGCAGAGCGACTGGATCGCCATGGATCCGCGCCTCCTGGTGCTCACGCCCGCGGAGCAGATCGCGCTCAACAGCGCGATCGAGGAGCGCAAGAGATACGAGGAGAAGTTGACGAGGAAGGAACCGGTACGGGCGGAGAGCCCAATCGCGCAGTCGTTGCTCCTAAACGTTCTTTATAAGTCCAAGTGCCTCTTAGTGTCAATTCTGTCGTACGTCGTGCTGATGATACGTAGAACGCTGCTGGTCATCCACTTGGCGTACACGCGCATCCTGTCGCGCATTCAATTGCGAGACTAGCCCGAATAACTTTGCGATATGTGTTGCTCGCCGCTTTGAGCGTGTCAATTTTCTTGCGTTTCGTAGAACAAAATCTGTAATTAAAGAGAGCACGCGTACGCAGGTGATGTCGCGAAATTACGATTGACCGATTTTCAGAGACTGCACAAAATCGAGGAGACAAAACTGATCGACGAGTACAAAACCCACGAAATGGAAGAAGAGATAATGGTTTTCAAAGACGTCACAAAAGTACGTGTCGTTGCAATTAATTACATATTAAGGTAATGATAAACGGCAAAACTTTCTTGTCTTTTTCTTAGGGCGCAGTTTCCACGATTATGACAGCTGATGTAACTTAAAAATTGGCCCTATCTGATCTGTAATATATTCGACTTTTTGCACCTTTAGCCAGTATTCATGATATTAAACTAGAAAATAATTTAATGCATTGCAGTTCAATATATTTTTTCCGCGCAACATAGATACAATTAACATATCTACAAATTTTCGTGTTTTTCTCCCTTTTTTTTTATACTTCAAACTACTGCAAGTAACAACGATGAACAAACAAGAACGATAAATATATATAAAAGAAACAACTATTTATAGATAAATATACCAAATCTTCCGAGTTCGAACAGCAAGAATTGCTAAGAGATACTTTACGCGTACTTAGTTACCCACGTATCGCGCTTTTAAAACGGTCGTGCCGTTTTCCGTTGTCGCTTTGACGTAGTAATCGGCACCGAGAGCGAAGGTCTCTATTTGCCCCTGCAGAGGCATTTTAAAGATGTGCTCGGGACGGAAAAGCCCTCCGAGATTCCACATGCCGTCGGTTCGTATCAGCAGATGTTGACCATTCGGCGTCTCGCTGATCACGAACGGATCCGAGCCCGGCAAAACGTACTGATCGAATTCGTTCCACGCGTGATAACGCAATATCAAGGTTTCTCCGGGCAATCGCAGAAGGATCCACAACGAATGGCCGATCGGTTCCACAGACGCGTCAAGTATATCGGGCACGTACAATCCTGGTGAAACATTATTTTTTAACATTACGAGATTCTTTATTGCTGCACTGAGAAAAAATTACTTAAATCAAATAAATATGTTTCAGGTACCCCTCAAAAAAATAATTTCAGATCGGAAGAGCAC